ATGCTAGTAATTTAAAAATAATTATGAAACGTAACAAGTAAAATTACACTGGAAATACACCTCTTAGTGGATAGGTAGGGCTGCTTTTCTCCTCAGTTAGTTCATCCACTCTTGATTATTACTTATTGTTAGAATGAGACTGGGTTCAGCATCAATTCTGTTGTTTTTCATTTTTATAGATATAGGTACTTAAAACCTTATGTAAATAAGTAGATAGAACGAAGTATTGTGATAGCAGTGCCACTCAGTTCTTTAAATCCTTTTGAGTTATATGTCAAAAGCCATGTAGTGCAGGGCCAGCTGGAGGAGGCTCTGGTTCCTACCAGCATACTCAGTTAGCACAGACTCCTGCATCTGCTCTGAAGACTAAAGCTTGAGTAACTTTACAGAGAAGCTTTATGATACCAGGATTCAGAGAACAATGTGAGAAACCCCTGGGAAGATAAAGAGGTATTTTGAGCTGTTAGTATGTATGATCGGTGAGGCTGCAGCCTAGACAGTAAGTTAAAATAAGAAGACATAAACAACCTAAGTTCCCCTTTTGCTTCTCTTCCTTTGCCTTGGGACATTGATGCCTTTCCCTTCACGTGCATCTGAAATAGGAAAATCAGAGTAGCACTGAAGCCCTGCTTGAATGAGAAGCTAAGGAAAATGGGTAGAAGTGACTGGTTTTAGGCATTGGCTTCTTACCTTTTGGCCTCCAAACTCTAGAACTGGTGGGTTATACCTTTAGGAACACCTCAGCCTAATGTTTCTTCCTGGGGGAGGGGGCTGGTAAGGGTTAAGTCCTGAACTGAGGAGTCGCTTGGTGAGTCAGTTTCTGAGTACTTGGCGTTCTTTCCCTTACCCTTCCTTGGTCTCCTGGGGCTAAGGGCCTACTTCTGGCCTCAGAACTGTGCTCTGTCCTCCTGGAGGAATATGAGCTCACAGTCCACATTTCAAACACCATTAGAAGGCAGTCTAAGAGTTTAAAGTTAACAAAGTAAACATACTAATTTAAATAATATGTAAACAGTATTAAACAAGGATATGAAATGATAAAACAGAACCAAGTAGAACCATTTAGGTATGAAAAATATAATAGTTGAAGTATAGGATGAAATACTGTAGAATAAATAGTAAAATGTGTGCAGCTGAAGAATGAATTAAAAAACTAGATGATCGGACTGCAGAACTTTACAGAAGGAAGTAGGAGAGGATAAACAAATCGGAAATATAAAAAAAGAGTTAAGGTATATGGAGTTAAAAGTAAAAAGTGCTAAAATTCATATAATAGGAGTCTCAGAAGGAGAGAAAAATAAAAAGGGAGTGGAGGAAATCTTTTAAGAAATAATGGAGATAAATTCATTGGAATTAAAGAAGAAAGACCTCAGATTTAAACAGACGATAGACTACCCAATAGGAGAGATAAGGAAAAACTTACAAGTAGACATAGTGAAATTTAAGAACATCAGAAACAGAGAAAATTCTAAAAGTTCCCAGAGAGGAAGAGCAAATTATATAGAACAAAACAAGAATCACATTGACATCCCACTTTTCATCAGCAACATTGGATGCAAGCATAAATGAAATAATATTTTAAATGTATTAAAGGAAAAGGAACTTTAAAACTAGAATTTTATGTACATCCAAACTATCATTCAAATGTTTAAGGACATGATAAAATATTTTGAAAAATACAAGGCCTCAAAATTTATCACACAGAGTCCTACGCTTAAAACATTTGGTAGATAAATAAGAGGAAATACAAATCCAGTGGATGTTGCAAGAGATAGGGGAAGTGAGAGTCTTTAAATACCTTGGTGAAGTTTGTTGGTATCTTAAAAAAAAAAAAAAAGACCAGAGAAGATAAAATATATTTATAGTAACTCAGAATTAAAATTTTAGATAACATCAAAATGAGAGTGTACGAAAGGGGAAGATACAGATATTAGAATTTTTAAAGTAGGAAAGGATTAAAAAGAAACATATAAAGAGTGGGACAAATTGAAGTAATAAACCTAGATGGTAGAAAGAAGTCCAGATATAGAAATAATACAATACAGGTAAATGGATTAATATTTTCTATTAAGAGACAGATTGTCAGATTGAATTTTTAAAAGTCTACCTGCCTATATGTTGTTTACAAGAAGCATACTTGAAGCATAAGGATACATAAATATTGAAAGAAAAAAAATGGAAAAGGAAATACCATACAAACATTAACCAAAGAAATTGATATTAATATCATTTAAACATACCTTAAGATAAATAAAGCATCATTAGGGATAAAGAAGGTCGTTTTATAATGATAAAAGATTCAACTAAAAAAGATTATGTAATAATTTTTTGTATATTTTGAGGTTCTTTTATTGGTAAAGGTATATATATCAAAAATTGACAAAATTACAGGGAGAAATTGGCAAATTCACCATCATAGTGGGAGATTTTAATGCATTTTTCTCAATTATTGATATGTCAAGCAAACAGACAAAAACAAGGATATAGAAGATTTGAACAACACAGTTAACAAGCTTAGCCTTGTGGATACATATGCAATTCTGAATCCAACAAGTAGATATATTTTTCTCAAGCACATGTAGAACATTTACCAAAATTAATACCATACTACGTAGGCCATGAAGCAAGCCTCAACAAATTTCACACAGATCATATTCTCTAACAACACACAATTAAGTTAAATGTCAGTAACATTAAGATGAAAAATCTGCATATCTCTGGAAATTAAATTGCATGCTGTAAATAACTCATGGGTTAAAGAAGAAACCCTAATGAGAATTTTTTTTCAAAATCCCTAGCACTGAATGATAATGAAAATACAGCATATCAAAACTTACGGAATGTAGCAAAAGTGATGCTTTTACAGAAATTTACACTCTAAAATACTTATATGAAAAGAAAAACCTGTTGCCATCGAGTCGATTCCAACTCATAGTGACCCTATAGGATAGAGTAGAACTGCCCATAGGGTTTCCAAGGAGCGGCTGGTGGATTTGTACTGCTGACTTTTTGGTTAGCAGTCTGAAAATCGGTGAGCTTAATATCCAACTTAAAATTTCAGGAAAAGAAAAGAAAACAACACAACACAACAGAATAAACCCAGATAAAGTAGTAGGAAAGCTAAAACTAAAGGTGAAAATCAATGGAATAGAATAGAGACACTCAACAAAACCAACATTCAGTTCTTTGAAAAGACCAACAAAATAGATAAATGTTTGGCAAAATTAATCAAAAAGAAATAGAGAAAACAAAAATAAATATTACATATGAAAAAGGGAATACAGGCACAGGTAAGGCAAAGATACAGATATATGATTAAAAAGACAAGAGAATACTACCAACAACTATATACTAACAAATTTGAAAACTTAATCAAAATGGACAAAACTTCTTTTCCTAGAAAAAATATAATTTCACAAAACTGTCTCTCAAGAATAAATAGAAACCTGGAAGTGTCCTGTAATTATTAAAGGAATTGAAGCAGTAGTTAAAAATCTTCCACAAGGAAAATACCAGGCACAGATGATTTTACAGATTTTTAGAGGACTTCAGCTTTTTGATGGTTGCTGTCTCTGAGCCTCCACCTTTGCTTTGCTTGTTTTATTTGCAATATCTTGAGAGGAATACTGGGATGCCTGGCAGAGATGACTCAAATTGAGCCTTGAAGGAAATGTAGTTGATGGGTTGGCAGAAAGGCATGGCAAGGGCATTCTAGGAGTGTAAGTTGATAGAGGATGGATGGGTGCAACCACAGTAAGCTGCAGGTAGGATGCTATGAAAGGCGGTAAGGAAATTGACCTTAAAACAGGGAGAAATCAAGAACCACAGGGAATTAATTGCATAATGATCCTCATATAGTTATCGCAGTTCCATACTTAGTGTTTGTCTGTGTCCTTAACCAAACTCAAAAAATCATCAATAGTGTACTCAGTTGGCTGCCCTTAAAGTGCCCCATCTCATAGTTTTCTGTGTCACTGATGATTATCACTTCAACCCATCCACGTACCAAATTACAATCACTCCCTAACAGTGCCCACACCTGAATTCCCGTTTGAGTCTAAATGTGATCCGAACTTCGTGTCCAAACTTTTTCTAACAGTCTGAGTTAGGAACAAAAATATTTAAGGCAAGAAGGAGCCCAGGTGGCACAATGGTTCAGCGCTCAGCTGCTAACTGAAAGTTTTGAACCTACTCAGCGGCTCCACTAGAGAAAGACCCAGAGATCTGCTCCTGTAAAGATTACAGTCTAAGAAACCCTATGGGGCAGTTCTACTCTGTCATGAGAGGTTGCTATGAGTCAGAATTGACTCGATGGCACACATCAACGACAACAACAAGCCTAGCAGGAGCCATTTGAGCCTGCATTCATGTATTTCTTATCACATTAAATGGAGCATTATACTTGGGAATAATACAGTTAATGTAAAGTAGTCAATTTTGGCATGATCCAGTCATATCTGAAATAAGAACAGTTCACTGAATGAGCTATTATCAAATTACCACATTATGTCTAAAATCTTCCAGCCAGCAAATCAGACATCTATATTCTTGAACACAGTGCTTGACTAATTGACTGAATTCAGATTTTTACTTAGACTTCCTCCTAGTGATGAACCCACTAGACTTGGGCAACTCCTTTTATTCTTTCAGTCTCTCTGTCAGCTTTCTCAGAACAGCACTTGAAGAGGTGTATGCTCTTAGGTTCCAGGAATTGCCCTGTATGTGTCCTTTGCACAAACATGCTGCATTGTTCTTTCAAGCCTAAATATTTCCATTCCCCTCAAACTTTGGCATGTTGTAGTAATAGTATTCAAGAGTTGTGAGCCACATTAGTACAGGGAGTATGTCCAAAGGACATCAGAAGTTTTGCTATTTGTTCAGCATTGTAATTTTTCCATGTGACTATTACTAAATCTGGGGGAATATATTACTGAAAGATTTAAGAATCTGTTCCATTATCCAAACTGTTTTAACACCAAAAATTCATTTGTTAATAATAGGGCAATACACTGTCTTCGGCAAGACCAATCAACGTATTAGAAATGATGAAGGAATGGAAAAATAACCTAGGAAGTGATGAGGAAAACACAGTGGATCAAAAGAAGAGCAGTTGGTCCATTCAAGAAAAGTTGGAAGATTGCACACCCGGTGTAAATGTCCACAGTGTCAGTAACACTTCACTGGAAGAGGAGGAAAAACAGGTAGGAAGAACCAGCAAAACAAATGGGAAGAACAATTTGTTGCACTGCTCCAAACTGTAAAATACCCCTCAACACTTGGAACATTTTTTGTAACTGTGACTTTTTTGTTGTTACTTTGTAACAAAGGACCTGAATTATAGAGCAAGTAAGATTCTTTCCTGCCTTTTAGCCTTTCATGATTCAACTGTGGCGTACTTGTTTATTTTAAGATCAGTGATTTTGTAGAGTAGAGGTCTGCAAGCTCTTTGAGTAAAGGAACAGATAGTAAATATTTTAGGCTTCGTGGGTCATATAGTCTCTGTCATAATCCACTCAACTCTGATGTTATAGTGTGAAAATATCCATAGATATTAAATGCATGAGCATGGCTGTGTTTTACAAACCAATAAACTATTTACAAAAACAGATAGCATGCCAGATTTGACCTGGGGGCCGTAGTTTGCCAACTCCTGATATGGAGTGATTTGCCTAGATTTAAGGTAATTGAGACCTTATTCAATGTTATTGGCTTATGATTGAAATTATTGTATTTTAACAGGCCATACAACCTGGAATGGTTTCATGTATTATCTAGAAAAAGTCTTATTATATTATCCAGTTATTTGTTTCCAAGCTATCATGACCAAAACCCTTTAAATAGGTTTATTACCCCATTTTACCTTATTAAATATGAATACAGTTTTATCCTTTTTTGATGACTAGAATTTGGTAAAATTTTGGTTAATTCCAGATTATGGTCTATTAATTGGATATCCTGGAAAAATTTACCCAAATCTTTTTTTTCTTCTGTTTCTATGTTTGTGGAACATTTTTCTGTATGTATTTGTTCTTCTTGTCTCCAAGTCTAATGAACTTAATTTAGCTCTCCTTTAATAATTGAGCATTCTGCCACAGAGGCAGTGTTCACCTTAAGGCAACCCAGACTTCTTGTGAGGAGTTACTAGTTTTTGATTCTCTGAAGCCTAGGCCTAGATATAGGCAGAGTGGAGAGAGAGACTGACAGGATAAATCCTGAGCCAAACCCAGGAAGGTGTGCTGTTGCTGAAGGGGACTTGGTAGAGTTGGTTAATTTTCATTTACTGTTTAAGAACTTCCTCATTTACTTGATAATAAATGTCTGGATAATAAGTTTAACATTTAATGATTCATATATTTAGAAGTAATCATACTTTTATCGTAATACAAACATAGCTTATTAAATTCCCTTCTTCCTCTCTAGTTTGTTAACAATTTCTGCAATGCTTAGTAGCTGTATTTTATATTCTTTCTAAAAATAATATCCTAAAAACCCGTGTTGGCATTTCCTTATTGAACATAGTTTGAAGATTTTTTCTATTAGTTGGCCTTGCATTTTATACACATGTACACATACATATGCACATACATACATACATACACATATTCACACACACATATATATACTCACACACACTCATTTATATATGCAAACATAGATACACGCATGCCTCTATACATACTCACGTATAGACATATGCACGTGTATACACACATGCACACGCACTCAAACATTTTCTTTCATAGTCTCAGATTATATCTGTGTTTGTCATTGAACCTGACCTAAAATATCCTTGTGAACCATAAATGCTTATCATGGTTCTGTCTTCCATCTTCTTTTCCATTACTCTGTCACCTCTTACCCAGTCACAAAGTGATAGGACTTGTGCTATGAGTTGCATTGTGTCTTCCAAAAAAATATGTTGAAACCCTAACTCTGGTATGTGTGAATGTGACCTTGTTTGGAAATAAGGTCTTTGAAGATTTTGTTCGTAAACATGAGGTCGTACTGGAATTGTGTGGGCCCTAATCCAGTCTGAGTGGTGTCTGTATAAAAGAAGAGAAGAGAGACAAAGGAATAAGGACCATGTAAAGACGCATCTACAAGCCTAGGAACACTTGGCTATCAAAAGCCGCTTGAGACAAGAAAGGATCTTCCCCTAGAGACTTCAGAGAGATCGTGACCTAGCTGACACACTGATTTGGATTTCTAGCTTCCAGAAATGTGAGACATTAAATTTCTGTTCTTATAGTCCACTCAGTTTATAGTATTTTGTTTTGGCAGCCCTAGGAAACTAATACAGCTTGCCATGCTATTCTCAAGTTATTTCCAGCTAGAGAACAGGAGGATTGGAATTTGGTTTGCTCATGGATGCTACAGGTATAACCCAAATCAAAAAAAAAAAAAAAAAAAAAAAAAAACCCAAACCCATTGCCGTTGAGTCGATTCTGACACATAGCAACCCTATAGGACAGAATAGAACTGCCCCATAGGGTTTCCAAGGAGCACCTGGTGGATCAGAACTGTCAGCCTTTTGGTTAGCAGCCGAGCTTTTAACCACTGCACCACCAGGACTCCACAGCTATAACCAATAGTTTGAAATTTTAAGAATATAAATTCCTACTCACCAACCGGAAGAACTTTTCTGCAATTAGAACTCACCAGCTGGGCCATGGGTAGTAACCCCCCACCTCCCAATTATTGAAAGTATTCAAGCAGACTCTGAAAAGCTACTTGTTATAAATGCTGTAGCAGGAATTCCTGAAAACTGCATAGGAGTTTGCCCTACATATCCTCTAAGGAATTTTCCCATGCTTAGGTATTGGCTATGATATCTTGGGAAGAATAGCTTACCTATTTGGAAATTTTTCTGAAAAATATTTCCCCTTAAAAGGAACAGACAGAAAATTACTTCTCATGCATTTACCATATTAAGTTTTTTCATGAATTTTTCTGAGTAAATAACTTTATTAATTGTACTGAAGTTGAGTTTATGTTAAGAAATTACTTCTGGAAGAATTCTGGGAAGATGGTGGCATAAACAGACCATCATCTTGACCATCCCCCACAAATACAAAAAGAAGTGCAACAAGGAAAAGGTGCTTGGCCTCGAGAGACTCTGAGTTGGGGAACAGAGGACAACAGCTGGGAACTGCAGACAGACAAGAGTCAAGGAATCAACAACGAGTCACATGCTGTAGGAAAATTGCTTCTCCCACCATCTCTGCCCCTCCCCCCAGCCACTTGGGTGCCAGCTGCTGTGAACTGGGGAAGTGGCCCCAGCAAAACAGCCTGATTCCCTAACTACTACACCACCTGCCTGCACAGAAACAGGACCCCAAGCTTCTGCTCTAAAATCAACAAGGCAGACCTCCCCAGGGGTCTATTCAGAGCCTGCCAACACCTCCCCAACCTGGTAACTGTCAACGCAAGGCTCTGCAAGGCTGATGCATATTGCTGTGGAGGCCCCCTGCAGTGGAGTCTGCCCCCATAGTAAACATTTACTTGCATCTCTGCACACTCACAGCTCAGGCCTCTATAACCAACAGGACAGACCTCCCTGGAGGTCACTTTGGGTCTGTCTGCTTCCCTTTCTGGTCAGTGCTGAGGACTGCTTATTGAGGCTGCAGTGTGCTAGGAAGCAGGCGTCTTGATTGGAGGCTACCGTACTACAGCAGGGGCTCTGATCGCAACAAGGCAAACCTCCCTGGAGGTCTGTTTGGAGCGTGACAGCCCCTTCCCAACCTAGTTATGGTCAGCTGCAAGGTTGCTGCAAATTGCTACAGAAGGCACTTTGCAGCGGAGTCTGCTCCCGGTCAGAGTTCTACCTGCCTCCCTGTACACCCCATAGCTCAGGTCTCTGGAACTAACAGAACAGACCTCCCTGAGGGTCAATTTTGGTTAGTCTGTCCCCACTTCTGGTCAGTGATGAGGACTGCTAACTGAAGGCACTGTGTGCTAGGAAGCAGGTCTTTTGAGTGGGTGTCTGCACTTATAGCCAACAGTCTACCGAGGGGCTCTGATAGCAACAAAGCAGACCTCCACTGGGATCTGATTGGAGTGTTACACCCCTCCTCCACCTGGTAACTGTTGGTTGCCAGGCTGCTGCAAATTGCTACAGAAGCCCCTGCAGTGGAGTCTGCTTCCATAGGCAGCACTCTACCTGCCTCCCTGTACACCCCATAGCTCAGGCCTCCAAAACCAACAGGACAGACCTTCCTGGAGGTCAGTTTGGGCCTATCTGTTCCCCCCTTCCAGTTGATGCTGAGGACTACTGACTGAGGCTGCTGTGTGCTAGGAAACAAACATATTGAGTGGAGGCTGCACTCACAGACAACAATCTACCAGGGGCACTCTGGTAGCAACAATGCAGACCTCCCTAGGATCCAATAGGAACGTGACAGCCCCCTCCCACTTGATCATGGGCAGCTGCAAGGTTGCTGTAAATTGCTATAGAAAGCACCATGCGGTGGAGTCTGCTCCCATAGTAAGCACTCTGTCGCCTCTCTGCACACCCAGGCCTCTGTAACCAACAGGACATACCTCCCTAAGAGTCAGTTTCAGGTCTGTCTGCTCCCCCTTCTGGTCAGTGTTGAAGAATGCTGACTGAGGCTGCTGTGTGCTAGGAAGCAAGCATATTGAGTGGAGGTTACATCCACAGCCAACATACTACAGTGGAGGGGCTGATGACAACAAGGCAGACCTCCCTGGGGTCTGTTTGGAATGTGACAGCCCCTCCCCCACCTGGTAACTTTTGGCTCCTGGACTGATACAAACTCCTACAGAAGATTCCCTACAGTGGAGCCAGGAGGTAGGTCACCTAAGTGGAGACTGCTTTCCCTACCACCACAGGGCCCCTGGGGCTCTGAAACCAAAAAGACATATCTCTCGGAGGTCCTTCTGGAGAATGCCAGACCCTTCTTCTCCTGAAATGGAAGAAAGTCTGCCTGTGCTTCCCCTAAATGCCAGGTCAGTTATAAGCAGCCCACACAGAGCAGAGAAGAAAGCCTTGGGCAAAACCAAAGGCTAATACGCAGCTCCCAAGGGGGCTCACAAACCAGAAAACCAAACCCATTGCCATTGAGTTGATTCTGACTCATAGCGACCCTATAGGGCAGAGTAGAATTGCCTCATAAGGTTTCTAAGGAGCGGCTGGTGGATTTGAACTGCCAACCTTTTGGTTAGCAGACAAGCTCTTAACCAC